AATGACGTTGGTATTGTGTGATTCTAAATATTTTTTTGATTAGCAACGATTTTAATTTAGGGCCACGGATTTTTGAGAGAATTTGACATTGACAGGAATATTGTGTTTAATGACTAGTTTTGTCCAAGTGTGGATTATTCACGAGCTGGTTTCAGGGACAAAAGGTAAACTGCAGTGTAATGTTCTGTTGTTGGGTTTGTTAATATCAATTTTATTCGTGAGTTGAGTTTTGTTGTGGTGAATGTTGGAGAGTTTTCAACAATAGCTGGTGGAAATTTATTGGTGTGAATGAAGGAATGCTTTATGTGGTTAATTTCTTCATCTATGTAGTCCATTTAACAGAGTATTGTGGCTGTGTTTATGAGGTTTTTCAGTGTATTGATTTTTTGTGTGGTGTCATGAGTGGAATTCCAGGGGATGTAGAGGCTGGTGTGTGTTCTTACGGTGAATTTTAGTTTTAAACTGTGTGTCCAGTCTAATAATGTTGAGGTTAAGAAAAGATAACTGTTTATTGTTTTTGTGTTCAATGGTAAATTTGATGTAGGAATGAATGGAATTTATGTGTTCAAAGAAAGTTAGTGTGTGTTCTGTAGAAGTGAAACCAGCAAAAGTGTCATAAACATATCTTTACCAGTAGAGTGAGGATGAAGTGCAGAATGTATAGCTTGTGTTTGATCTGGGTCATGAATATATTGGCAAGAATGGGCGAAACAGGATTGCCCATACGTAAACCATCTATTTGAAGGAAATATTCTTTGTTGAAAATGAAGTTAGTTTTAGTTGTTGTAAATTCTAAGAAAGAAGCAAAAAGTGTGCTGGGGATGTGGATTAACTTGTTTGGGTCATTAATGTAGAGGTCGAATGCGATATTGCAAGCTTCATTGGCGGGGACTTTGGTGAATTTAGTTCATTTAGCGTATATTTGAAATTGAAGGTATCTTTAAAAAATGAACCTACAGATGTTACATATGGTGTGAGAGCCCAGGCTATGTATTTGCCAAGATTGTAGTTGAAGGAATCATAAGTGGACAGTATAGGTTGTAGGTGGCAGTCCTGTTTGTATGGTTTAGGAATGCCATTGAGTTGTGGTGTGCATGAATCAGTTTTACGCAGATAAAAATAAATATCGTCTGTAATTAAATCATCTTTTTCATTTGTAATAAAGTTCTGTTTAGTTGTTTTTCATGTGTGAAGTTTCACTCTAAATAAGTAGCTAGCTCTGATTAGAAATTAATATTAATGACTAATATATTTTGTTAAACCTTTTCACTGTGGGTGGGACATATAATTCATAGTGGGTTAAAGGAATTTAACTGACTCCTACTTTTCCATCTATAAGGCTTATCTCAATTTAAACTAGACTATCAAAAGGAAAATAAAAACAGACATCTCAGTATATTAATTTACTTTTTAAATACTTAACAGTTTTTCCCAACTCTTACATTCTCATACTTAATACCAGTTCCATTTAACAAGTAAGACTGGTGTTCATTAACGTATCCAAGTGATACTAAAGATGAACAAATATGATGTCACAAAACAAAGGATTCTACTGGGAAACCATAAACAACGTGTTTTAACAGCTTTGAAACAAAGTAAAAATACCTAGCACTATAGTCAAATTACAAAACAAAACATTTCTGCACATGGAATAAACACTGCTGCAGCTCTAAAGACGTTAACTATGAAATGAAGTACTCTAAACAATAGAATACAATGATGTAAGTCACTCATTCTAAACCAGTGGGCCATGAGATGCACAGTTATGAGCTATGGTTGGCCAAGACAGCTGTGGCTGTCCTAAACTAACGATTTATCAACTGCATATATGGGCCTTGAGATGCATAAGGTTGAGAAACACTAGTGTGAAGGCATTTCAAACACCAACAATACTCAGACATGCAGTATGATAATGTTTCCATACGAAACCTTACTTAAAATATACATTACAAAACAGACTTTAAACACTTAATTGGTATACAAATTAAACTGTGTAAAGAACTACTGCTTCTGAAAGTACAAAAGAGTAAAAGCTACAAGTATTATTTTCAATGCTCTATAATCATAATGTGAATATAAATATATGTTTTAAAAACTCCAATATAGTTTAATTTTTATAACGCTAAACAAAAGACGTAAAAATGTATGACAATTTTACACTTAAACTTACTTTACATTGCGAGTTTTTACACTTACTTTAGCCTTCTTGCTTTCTTCCGACTGTGGAGAAATGACCATATGATAGTGGGGAAGTGAAGGTTCTTGTTGTATTGACTGTTTTTTAACTCCATTACTAGTGGGTAGTATGTGATGTGCTGGGTTTATAGTACTACTTCTCTGATCTTCATATCTGTGTTTTCCAGTTTTCTTATGCGATAATGATGCTTGACTTGTAGAGACTCCAGGTGGAGCTTGCTGAATATGATTTGGTAAGTGGCTGGTGTTTCTGTGATGATCTTCCTTAATGCGGGTACGTTCTAAGGATGAATGTTGCGGGTATCTGTCCGAAGTAGAGTAAAGTTCCGTCCTGTACTCTATTTGTTGATCATGATGTCGTTCCTGATCTTTAATTTGTTGGTTTATCTGCCAATTCCTCTTTCTCTCAAGATTTTCCATATTTTGATTTATTTGATGATCCATCTCAAAATTGCCTCTTATCTGTTTCTGTTCATATGAATTTGAGACTTGTGGATTATTAACATGCTTGTTTTTATAACAATTTTGTCCATCATCCTTATGGTTGCTGTATGAATGAGGATGGTGATGATTAGTAACATTTCTGTACTCATTGACTGGTTGAGAGATCCTCTGTTCACGAGGTAGGTGATGTCCAGATAGTGGACGGTGGCCAGAAGAATGAATATGATGATGACTTGGGTAGCGAGCATGAGGAGGAAGATTCCCTTCAGCAGATGATATGTATATTTGTTGTGGTTCTTCGAACTCCTGAATGGGAGTAGACCGTACCATATTTGGGTGATGATGTCGGTGTTGAACTGGGGGACTTCTTTTTCTCAGTGAGTTTGACCGAGTTACAGATAACGGCCAATTCTGAAGTTTAGAAGAATTTTCCCCACGAACAATTGTCTGAAAAAAAAAAGTCATAATATTTACTGAAATATATCAGATACTATAATGTATGGCATTTAAAAATAAATTAATCTATTGTGATTGAATAAATATATCTGAAATTATTCTTGAAAGAGAGAGAAAGTAATGTTTGGATGAAACATTTTATATAGTCTTCTGTGAGGTATTATCTGTAACAGATGACAATCCACAATCCAATCTTCAATAAAGCATGAGAATAATTCATCTGTGTGATACTGTAAACTTCTTTTTAAGTTCAATTAGCATAAATTTGTTTAATCTTTATTAATGTATTAATTTTTGCAACTTACTATTATTTTACATTTCTTTATACATATGACTCAACATTGCTGCTAAGTGTTCTTCAAATATAGAATACATTATATTAAAATGATTTTGGAGCCTCACACATCATTAGAGTCTGATCATGCACTATCTCACGACTGTTCATTTTGCCAATAGCCCTGCAGCATAAAGCTCTGTTGTGAGGCTATCATATCTAAAACACAAAACCATTTCAACAGTCCAACTGTGAAGAAATCCATAGTTGCTACACCCAGTGACATGACTGGTATACCTATATACGGAATAACATGAATACCTGTTTCATTCTCCAGTTGCTTGAGATATGCAAAGAATGTCAAAATGTAGTTTGATAAATGCCATTCCAACACGATTATATATTGGCTGTGACACACTAATTTGCATATCAAAATTTTTTAATATAATATACTCAACACTCTGTTTATTAATTTCATTTCCTAGAAGGATATAATACAGAAGCTGGTATTTACTGAATTATTAATCATAAAAACTCATATATATCGCATTATTTTGCCTTAAAGCATTACAAATCAAAACACCATATTAAAAGTTGTTCATACATCTGAAGTTCCTATGTAAGTAGTCAGCCATGAAAGGCATTTATATAAAAAGCTCTCATCCTATCCTAATCATCAAGAAAATAAGCATTTCAGCCCAATTAATTTTAAAACCTGAAGTGAAATATTAAATGCTTCACTACCAAGGTGTTTGAATCAATAGTGCATTTTTCTTCTGCAAAAAAAATAAAAAATTAACATTTTTATTTTCTACATCATAATATTCATATTGTTGAATTTTTAATACTCATTAAGTTTGAAAATTAATGATAAACACGACGTCCTTTAGAAAGTTAGATCATTTGTATAAAGAACTGCTTGTTTACTTATACTCTACATAATCTGAACACAACAGTAATATTTCACCATTATAACATAACTCAGAAAAATGTGTATACTTGAATGATTATAGATTATAGATGTCTATATTCAAGTTACACAATATAACATCAGACTAATATTTATACACAATAACACATTTTGAATTAACAAGTCAATCTTCACGTTAACATAGCTTACTACTTGATAAAAACTTTTAACCTGAGCCCTTTAGAAAGAGCTCGGGTTATAGGGTTTTAATCTTCTTGTATCAAGACTTCTTGAGCCTACCTGTTTTACTGACATCATGTTTAGTTTACTACATTGTGTTTTACAGTCACTAATCTCAACTGACAACCAACCTGTCTAAAAGTAATATAATGTTTTATTAATGGTTGTACTACTATGCATGGGTGAGTTTCAAGTCAGTCACATATATTAACATTTACTCCTTAAATACACCTTTGAAAGTGAGCAGGCATATTTTTAACAGCAACAGCTTTTAAATATTCCTTCTACATTCACAAACTGGTCTTGTACATGGTAGCTTGCAGTCAAAGTTCTACCTTAAAAGTAGTTATGTTGTGATGTATTTGATACAGTTACGTAGTCATAAAAATTTTTTGCAGGAAGACAGTTTTCTCATTTAAAATTCATTCAGTCAAAGGAGCCATGCTTGGGTATAACCACAGGTATGCAGGAAAAGTTTGTTTTTAAAAATATAATTTAATACTACAAAAACCAACTATATTTATGATGGCAAAAAATGAAAAAGCCAAAGAAGATAAACAAGGTCTTTAAAGTAGTTCAAATAATTTTTACATGAAGATATTTATAGATTTTCATGGTCTATGGGCAACATGACACAGAGTTTCTTTCCAGTTAACAAGCACTTCTACAGTTCCAAATTAGCTATCCATATGTTACTTCATCCTTTGTTTTGGAGCTGAACAGATAATGTATGTGCTACTACTTACATTTGACTTCAGATTTGTCATTTCTGTAGGAGTGATAGTGGATGAATCTATGATAGGCTTTGGTCTATCTTTCTGAGGTTGTATAAGACTGTTCCACTGGGGAGGAAGTCCAACAAACTTCCCTTCATTTCTGTCAAACCCCGTATGTACTCTGTGCTGAAAATTGGTTGGACTCGAAATTACAGGTTTCTTTTTCTTCTTACCAAACATTCCTGTACCCCTTTCAGCCAAAAAGAATTTCAGAGAATATTATACAAAACAATTCAATATACAGCAATATACAAGATCCTCATTTTAAGAAGTTTTGAATAGTTTATGCTCTCACAAAAACTGTAAAAGCTTATTTCATGTTCAAACATTACTCTCTAAAGGTGGGCCTAAATTCATAACTTGCAAAATTGTGAACAAATACCTAAGATACATTGTGTTTCATATTGTTCAATAAAGAATAACACAAGTAAAATACATGTATATAACGGCAGAGATAATAAAAGTCAAACAAATATTACTTGTTCCCTGGGATATGAAAAAGATTTAAATGTTCTATTTTATAATACTGAGTCAGGTATAAACATGATTATAAAAATATAAAAAAAACAAGGAAGAGGAGGAATTACATACAGTAAAAAATTATATATTTCAGTTAATAGTTACCTTACAACAATTACTTTTTATAATTCTTTTCCCAATTTTTAGTTCAGAGAGTATGAGAATAACATTTTAGAGCAATAATCTTAATTTCTTTTTCACAAAATTATATTTTTGATATAAATTCATAAAATATTTTGCCCAATCCAGTAGTGTGCTATTAGTTTCAAATCATCTCAATTTTTTGGAGTAAATGTGTGGATGTGTAAAGGCCTAATTTACAAACATGGCATGTTGTATTAATTTAGAATAAATGCATGTATAATTTATTCACAAAAAGAATATTTATGCTAATACATAAGCACAATATTTTAGATTCTCTTTCAGAATGGCATACTGGGTTGTAATTATGAACACATTTTGAAGTTAACTTGAGGGAATGTCAAATTGAAACTAGTTTACAAAAAACCAAGCATATAAGGCTAATCCAAAGTTTCAACAAATAATAAACCAATCAAGACAGACTGAAGCTATAATACCCAAGCAAGACATTACAACTTGCATTAATTCATAAGTAAAAAACTGGAGGGTAGTTCATGAAATTAAAAAACAACAACTCCTAATGACACAAAGTACTCTGAGCTAAATTACATGCACAGAATACTAGCTGTCGTTGCTTTATGCATCTGGTTATTTTTCATTTAATGTTAACCACAAGATCAAACAAATACAGATAAAAAAAATACCCATCACTCACTAAGGTCCTTTTCTTTAAATATTTATTTGTTACTTTTTAAATACCTTTGCCACAAATATACTGATGGCTACAAATAACCACACCACTTCTTAAAACACAACAATTATCTGCTGATACTTACCTTTCTCTAACTTACAGCTGAAACAAGCACAGTGGCAAACACTATGGAATCTTAAAACTTCACTGCAACACAGTACCTTTGAAAAGTTAATCAGGAAACACAGAAGGACAGCATTATGCTACACCCACCCACACAAGTCCAAGATGGTAAACTCCTATCATTGTTGTCATCTATAAAACGTTGCAACAATAAAATACGGCAAACCTTTGAAATTGGCGTATAACTAATGAGCTTAAGCTACCATTAACATGTGACATTATCCATCGCTGGACGAATTCATTACCTTAAAGCTGTCTTCCAAAGCATAAGAATGAGATCACTACACATTACGATCACGTTTTCTACGTACAAACGTCTCAGAGAAGTTTAAACAAGTGGAATTCATAGAAATGTTATTCAATGCATGCTTAACCTTTCCGCAAATTTTGAGTTAGCTTTATATCTGCTTATTATGTTGTAGTAGCTATTTACATTACAAATCACACCTTATGTAAAGGAT